AATTGTTATTAGTAATAAGTACCTTGTTCTTCAATATCTGTTACTTGGCCTCATTAGATTCTGTATTTGGAGTTAATAATTAAGGACTTGTTTGTTTGGTGGCAGTTTTACAAGATTATGGCTCTTGTCTTTCTGTTCTTATCATATGGATATGAGATGGGCAAGGCCGGCTCTAAAGCTAGGCAATTTAGGCCTTCGCCTAGGACCACGACTATAGAGGGGCTTCAATTATTTTTTTTTTTGTTAATGTAAATGTATCTCAATTTTTTTCTACTTGATATTTTTTTTTTTTTTGTCAAATAATATGTAAGAATGAAAATTTACAAATAAGGTCTTGCCCTATTTATATAACCACATTCTTAAACAGACGGTGAAAATCAACTTGATCTAGTGGCTAAAACTGATGCTCTAGAGACTTTTCATATATACTTGTCTAGAATGTTTTACTTCATAATCTAGAACCATGTATATGCAAAAAGAATGTCTTAGATATATTTATGGGCTATATATTTCTGCTATGTCTGCCCCCCCTTTACCTGCATCATATTATATTAACATTAATGCGTCATGTATTGGTTAAGATGCGTTGGACAATGATCGTAGCGTGACATTAAAATAGATTTAATCTATCAAATTAACTTTTCGATTAACATTACACATTCTATTGAAATTCTCCTTGTGTTTGTTATGTAAGTTTTGTTTATCTAATTTATGTAAAAATGATTATTTCATATTATTGGTGTCAAATAATAAAGATTACTTCATCCGTTTTTATTTATTTATTTATCGTTTTAGAATTTCAATGTAGAATTAATTTTTATGCAAATTTTACCCTTCTTATTAATGCTATGATTATTTGATTAAAAGGGTGTTTTGGGACGTTTACTTAAAAAAGTGGCTATGTATTATAATTATTAATCCGTGTTCAATCCTCCAAAGCGAATAAAAAAACGGAGGGAGAATATGCTAATTGATAATACAAGTGTTTTTGTTTTATTGTGTCTTTTAGTATTTTGAAAAAAAAATATATTATAATATTGTTGTTTTGCATTAATAAAATTTAGAATTTGATGTAACTTAGATTCAACGAGTTTGAGTCAAGCTACAATTTTTAATATTAATTTATTACAAAGAATACTCAAACTACAGACACGTCTCGATTTTTTTGTAGCGGACTGAACCGTTTGATAATCGAACCAAATAGTTCGGTTGGATGTATTGTACAAATTTTGAAACTACCGCTTCAGACTAGATACCAAAAATTGGTACGGTTCAATTATATTGAATGCAACGATAACAATCCTCGTAAAAATATATTACAATTGAAACTAAAAAGTATCAGCTAATTTGTAAAAGAGGGCCCTGATTTTAAATATCGCCTAGGGCCCTGTAATATGTCAGGCCGGCCCTGGAGCAGGACATATGGAGTACACATATGCAGTAATCGGAATTGGAGTGTGTTTTCTCTTGATCCTGACCGGCTACAGACTAAGACTCATATGGAAAAAGGTATTCAAAATCTTAATTTCGTATTCCACAAGATTTCCCTCTAATATTTCATAAGTAATTTCTTGTACAGGAGACGAGGATCTTTTTATTGGTTACGTTCCCATTTTGCGTTGGGGCGAAATTTGGCTATCTGTGCACCTCCAACGTACCTAGTGTACTACTTGTTGGGGGTTGTATGGTATTCCTCTGTTTCTGGGAAGCATCATGCTGGTGGAGGTTTGGAAGGTTGGAGCAATATGATAAATACTACCTAAGAGGCGTGATCTTGTCTGCATCGGTGGTCCACTGGATCTATATTTGTAAAGATGATTTTGGTTTCGATTCAGTCCAACTGAAGAAGGTATGCGCTGCGGTGGTGTGCTTTTCGGTGTATGTGGCAATGTATACACAGGATCGGAGCTAGTTATGAACTTAATGTATCGACCTTCCAATTTTGAAATTGATGCATTGACTTTCTTCACTGATGCACCTGCTATTTGCCTTCATTGTGCCAAATTAGTGGTGAGCATCATATATCATATATTCAATAAACTCTCAGTGTATAATAATGTAGTAGTAGTAGTATAAGTTATTGATTATTATGTTGTTTGAATGTGTAGTTGAGGACTTTACGCAGACAACTATCGCACCTCTTTCAGTGACACCGAGCAAATCAGATTCAATCCATTTCTTCTTGAGCTAGCCACTATAGTCTATATGCAATTTTTTGGTTACATATATAGAGTTTATGTGAATGAATATACAGTTGAGGATTAGCGGTACAGTGTACGCAGGCAACTATCTCGATCGCTTCTTTCAATGACACCGAGCAAATCAGACTCGATACATTTCTTCTTGAGCCACTACAGGCAATTCTTTGGTTACTAACTCAATACATAGATTAGAATCCGAACCGGGTTTGGATTAGAATTTCTCCTGCATCATATCATCGTCTTGAACTATACAGAACATTTTATTGCTACTATTGAAATTGTATTCTTTCTTACAGTCTTCTTGATATAGTAAGGTTGGAACATATACTGGTTTTCTATGCATGTTTCAGCATTTTAATTTCAGTATTAAATATATGTGGGTAATTGGTTTTCTAGATTGGAATTCAGCGTTTTTAGTAATATACTATATAATTACAAAATTACCTTAATTTTTTTTTACAATATATGTGGGAACAAATTTACAGTATCTAGGTGAGAACATTTTAGTGGTTTTCTTTAGTTTTAGTATAAATTAAATGTCTTTTGACTCATTTTTGGTTAGTTTTTTAGGGTGAAATACAGTTTCCCCTCTAAAAGTATGAGGGTGGTATCAATTACCCCCTAAAGTATTAATTGTAACACTTACACCCCTCTGTTATAGTTTTGTAGTTTTTTTCCCAAAAATACTCCCTCCCCTTTCATAAATAATAAATTTATTTATTAATTTATCATAATGAAGTTGTATCTTAATGAATTATGAATACATGCATCCACCAAACAACATTATGTTTTAATTTCTTCATTTATTTTGTTTCCTTCAATTTTATGGTCTCAATTTTTTTTTTTCTATACTTCATCTCATTTTTTTTCTTATTTCTATTTCAATTTGTTTTCCATAATAAATTTCTTCAATTCTTTTGTTTCCTTCGGTTATACAAATATAAGATGAAAATGAAGAAAAAATTTGAGATCGAAAAAAGGAAGGGAACAATAGAAATGAAGAAATTAAAACATAATGTTGTTTGGTGGATGAATGGACACATAATTAATAAAGTGACAATTTTTGATAAATTAATAAAGTAATTTATTATTTATGAAAGGAGCAGGGGTATTTTTGAAATAAATACTACAAAACTATAACAGATGGGGGATAAGCTATGTTGCACAGACACTGACTCGGCGACTCGGACTCGACTCGGATTCGGCGACTCGTTTTCTAAAAAAAATTCAAGATACGACACGGCATGGATATGTATATTAAAAAATAAAAAAAACTATATAGTTTATATAAAAATAAAATAAATTAACATCATAGCCAATGAATTAACATTCATTCTAATATTCCAAACACAAAATCAAAAAAAAAAGATCACAAAAGGTGTATAAATTCACTCTAAGCACATCGTAAATGATTCAAACAAGTCTCATATGAAAAAAATATCAAAACAAGTCTCATAAGAAAGATAATCACTCTAAGTACATAACAATCAGTCAATTACACGAAAATTGTTCGAAATCTTTAAATAAAATTAGTTTTTTTATTACAAGATAGAAATACCACTTCTTTTTTTTTCTTCTTTTGCTTCAGATTTTTTTTATAGCAATTACGTAGAGGTTAAAAGATAATACATTTCTTGCCACACAAAGAGAAATAGTATGGTTTAGGTGCAATGGAGTTTAACAATGCGGCACCGTCACTGAATAGAAACACCAGATATAAGAACTCCAAATAACTCTAATTTTAGGCCATAATGTCAATAATTTTTGTAAAAGAAGTACACATTGTTGATAGAAAAAGAAGAAAAAATAAAAACCCGAACTCAAATTTCAAGGAAATAAAACATAAATGCACAAAAATGAGGTAGAGAGGAAGAGAAGTACTTGTAAATTTGAATAAATTGGAAGAGAATTCTTGAACTAAGGTTTATGAAAATGAATGAAATTGGGGAGTTCAGGAGTTGTTTTAATTTGTGTTTGGAATGAAGAGGAAGAGTACTCTGTAGAAGTTTAATCGATTAGTTCACAAAAGTATTACTATTTTCTAATTTTTTTAATTAAGTTTCAAATTTTCAATTTTAACCCACAATTTTGAAAAAAAATTGCAGAAAGACCCCTGCCGTGTCCAAGACCGAGTCCTGCCGAGTCCTGCCGAGTCCTTGATCGTGTCCCCGCCGAGTCCAATACCGTATTTTCTCGGACTGGCCACGTGGCGAGTCCGACGCATGTCCGAGTCGAGTCGCACGCGTGTCCGAGTCCGTAAAGAGTCCGACTCTGCATAGTGGAATTTTTTGAAGTATCCGTGCTTCATAGGGGATAAGAATTATAATTGATACTTTAGGGGGTTAACTGATATCACCCTCATACTTTAAAGAGGGAAATGTATTTCACCCGATTTTTTATTCCGATTCAATATACTATGTATTTAGTTGCATAATGTTTCCTTTTTTAGTTCCGACTTAGCTTTGCAGATATTGTACTGTATATATTTTGGTTGGCCACACTAAAAAGTTGGAGCTAACCATTCATACTTGCTGACTATTAATTCATAAATATAACATCCAACTTCCTTTTTAAATTATAACTTTGTCATTTTCTGAAAGTCTATAAATGCATTCCAGGAAAAAAAAATCCAATATATCTGAGCTCTGTGAAATGGTTTCTTTCTTATTGGGCAGAATTGATGGTGGCTTTTAGTTAGAATTATTTTTTCATGAAATTTACCTGCTTACAAAATGCTAAAAGATTTTCCATTTTCTCTTAAGCCATTATTATTAATTTAATTTATTAAAAAGGGAAAGAGGAGCATTATGGGGATCGAACACGGTACACCTCTCGCACAAAAGGCGAGGATCAAACCACTAGACCAAATGCCCAGATGAGACTGGAACTGTGAAACAGACAGATTTTAATAGTATTATTTTGGTAGGGGAAAGTTCTCAACGGTTGTGCCTAAAGATAATTAGTTCTAATTCATTTTGTTTATAATAGTCAATCAATTACAACGATATATTGATTCCAAACTCGAGAGAACTATTTCATGAATAAGATATAACATCGAAAACAAGAAATATTTACACTAATGCTGCTCAATTGTAATCCAAGGTAAAATTCTTGGTGTTCACACTACAAGAAAAAATAAAAATTCCCACCGAAAAATTCCAACCGAACAAAAATGGGTGGGAATTTCAATGAATTCCGACCGAAAATGATGTCGGTGGGAATTTTTTGTAAGAATTCCAACCGATTTTAAATCGGTGGGAATTAACCGGATAAATTCCGACCGATTTACAAATCTGTCGAATTTTTTAAAAAAAAAAAATTAATAAATGCAAAATTCCCACCGATCTATGATCGGTGGAAATTTTTTCATATTAAAAAAATTAAAAAAAATAATAAGTGCTATATTTCCACCGATTAGAAATCGGTGGGAATTTTTTCAAATTAAAAAAATAAAAAAAAATAATTCCCACCGATTTGTGGGAATTTTTTCAAATTAAAAAATAATAATAATAATAATAATTCCCACCGATTTCAAAATCGGTGGGAATTTTTTCAAATATTCCCACCGATTCAAAATCGGTGGGAATAATGTTTCTAAAAAAACTGAAAAAAATTCGATTTTTGCCGTTGGAATTTCGGTGGGAATTTTCTATTTTTCTAGTAGTGTCACATGCAACCTTCAAATGGTTGGCATGCATGCAATTCCAACTCCATGCCGTAAACTTTGAAAAAACTTGCAACTTCCGTGAACTTTGACAAGCCCTTTATGAAAGTTACTCCATCCGTTCCACAATATCTGTCGTTTTAGAGAAATTTTATTGTTCCAAAATATATATCGATTTAGGATTTCAATACAATATTAATTACCCTTTTTCCAATTTAGCCCTTATTTATTACACCTAAAAACTCTATTTGATTTATTCCAATACAATATTAATTAAGAATATTGCAGCTATATCTTTTATTTTTTTTACCAAAAATCAATGCTATTTATCTGGATAATTAATACTGACTCCCAATTTTCAACACACCGCCTACACTCAACCCCCTCCCATGGATTTCATATTTGCTGTGCTGCTTTTATTTCGTACCCCAACATAGAGATATTAATTGAAGTATTATTTTGATTTTCCAAAATTTCAATACTCAAAGCTCAAAATTATTACTCCCTCCTTTTTTACTTATTTGTCGCTTTGGCCAAAAAAATTTGTTTACTTTTATTTGTCGTTTTAGGTAGGAATGTGCGCGAGTCGGATTTTTTGGGTTTTGGGTATTTCGGGTCGGGTACCCGACCTGGCGGGTATTGAATTTTTACACCCGAAACCCGACCCGATTAAATTCGGGTACCCAAAATTTTTGGGTTTTTTGGGTTTTGGGTTTCGGGTACCCGAAATTTCACATGATTTTTTTTTAATATGTATAAATGTACAAGAAATCTTATTTTTTTAACATATATGTATGTAAAATTGTAAAATAAATGAATTCAAACATTAAATTGTACACAATAACTTCAAAACAAATACAACACAAACGTCTCAAGTCTTTAACAATATTACAATCAAAGACTCCTAAACAAAACATAAGATACAAGTCTTCAACATTTCAATTCAAGATCTATGCCCCCAACACTAATTGCCAAAAAAAAAAAAATTCAATACCCGAACGGGTCCCGAAATACCCGTTCGGGTGTAAATGCACTACCTACCCGAACCCGAAATGTCAAAAAACCCAATTTTTTGTCCCAAACGGGAAATACCTGATCGGGACGGGTCGGGTCCCAAATTACCCAACCCAAACGCCCAGCCCTAGTTTTAGGAATTCAATGTAAAATTATTCTTTTTCTACCATGTTTACCCTTCTTGTTAATGCTTGTAATTAATGCTAATTAATGATGTAGTTATTTGATTAAAAGGGTATTTTGAGATTTTTACTTCAAAAAAATGGCTATTTATTAAATTTCTTAATAAGTGTACAACCCTCTAAAACGACAAATAAAAGAGAAGGATGGAGTATCAAAATGTGTTGGACTAAGCAAAAGGATGTGATCTAGAATTCGATCCATGGTCCGCACGTAAGTTAATTTCGGTCAATTTTAGTTGGGTCTCAATGTGGACCAAAATGGCAACCTAAATTAAAGTTTTGGCTCCAAATGTGTCAGTCCAATAAGATGTGGGGTAGAAACGCCAATGAGCTTAAGTTGTGACACCAAAATCCCCAAGTTACAAGTCACGTGGGTTAATTAGGGCCAATTTTGAATTTGGACTCAATATGGATCAAAATTGCCACCAAAATTGAAGTTGTGGCCCCAAGTATGCCAGCCCGATAAGATATGGGATAGAAACGTCATCGAGCTTAAGTTGTGGTATAAAAAGTGCACTAATCCCCTTTATTTAATGTTTTATATTATGGATTACAAGTATGACATATATATATTTTTGGGCACACATAAGATTAATATATTTTTATGTGTTTTAATAATGCGTAACTATTTATTTATCAAGTAAAATTTGCTAGTGTGAGCAAACTTGGTATGAGCCTAATATACCAAAGTCAATTGGTATTTGAGATTGAGCTTATAGTCATAAAGTCACTTAATATTTGGATTTGAATAATTTAAAGCTCGACTCAGAAGGCTCGATTGAGAGCCCTAACTCAAACACAACACACATTCCCTACTTGGTATCAAGTTGTAAGAGTTATATTAGGATAATAACAAGTGATTGGTCTAGTGGAAGAGACTAGTCACTACAAAGTAGTGAACCCAAATTCGAATCTATGTTATGAGAGGTTCCTTTATTATATGTCCGACGCGACTCGAAAGAATTAAACTCTTGAATAAAAAATTAAAAATTAATGGTAAAATTATTACAATTAAATGAATAACCTATCTCTTTACAAACATCTCCTTAAAGAATGTAATACCTTTGGAGAATGAATGCAAAGGTGTACGGCTCGGTTCGATTTTAATGAAAAGCTCCTCTTGTAACATAGTTGTGAAAACATAAACATTTCACTTTTATGTTTTATAAGTTTGTTGATTTTAACAAGTAAGAGTTAATTATATTAACGTACATTAGTTGTATAGTTATATTTCACAATATTTATAGTTTTTGCTTTATATTTATAAAAATATATTACGATTTGAAAAAGAAGTTAAATTGATTTTTGTCATTTTATCTATCTACCTCTAACAAATATGTTAGAGAAAAACCATGTAAATACTTAATAAATACTTTTACAATTTTAAAAGTAAGAAAATAAATTTGAATAATAATCATTCTTTTTAGATAGGGCCTTGATTTTACATTTCGCCTAGGCCCCTGATACGTCGGGCTGGCCTTGTTTGCATCCATGGAGATCTCCAAGTGGCCTAAATCCTACCTCTTTAAACAGCTAATATATTTTCATGTCACGTTTGCATACTGTTTTGTACACTAAAGGTTTTTATGACACAATTTCACCTGATTGTTCTAAGCTAGAGATATGATGACCTATGAAATGAATGCACAATATTGAAGTAAATCCTATATTACAACCCAGCATCAATTTCAAGAACTGAACCCTATCAACAATATAACTATTTACTCCAAAACCATAAATTAAACAGATTACTCAGCAACTATACAGGTAAACAAATAATTGTCAGAAATCGTATCTGTTTGCAATAGAAAAGATTTGAGTGAAATCAAAGAAAAAGCAACACATATATATTAAGTAAAACTATTAATCAACTCAGGCCGCTTAACATCATTAACAAGAAGCTTACCTGAAATTTTTCCTAATGATGCATCTGAATTGACTTTGAAACATTCTGCAGCAGGCGGAATATGGCAATCACAAGTTCATTGAACACAAAAAGGGTAATTCAAACTTGAGAAATAGTGGAAGATGGAAAATCACGGTTCGAAAGATCATTGTCTTCACATGCATATCAAGATTCTTTACTTAAGGCAAAAATCACATCAGAATAGTTAATACGCCTTAAAAACATATAACTTGTACTCTTAGAGGCATTCCACTTATACTTACTTGAACATTGGTGACCCATTGAGGTAAATATACGATATACTTATTCATTGGCCTCGTGTCTAATTAAATGAACTTTTCAAGGATATCTAACCCTTAAAACATGTTTCAAAAGGATTGCATAAAAAGTAAAGAACACATGTAAGTAAAAAATACGAGTAAGAAAAGTACTTCGTTATGTTAAACATGCTTCCGAAGGATAGCATAACTCAGTTTAGCAGAACAAGTATAATGAAGTTACACAACATCTTATAAATACCAGAAATACAGGATTGGTATGCCATAAAACTACTACAAAGAATCAATGGTCTCATTGTCAGTTTACCTAATATTATAAGAACCATTTTTCAGTCGATCATAAAAATTTCGCCTCTCATTTGCTATCAAGTTCACTCTTTGCTTTATAAACATCTCCAATTTCGTCCAAATAAGGACTAACAAATTTCTCGAAAAACTTTTTATCAGTACATGATTGCAGAGTCGAAAGGCTAGGCCAACTCGTAATCAACTTCTTATTTTCCAAAATTCCTAAAACACGGAACCGCGGGATATACCTATTCTCAATGCTGCAACAAAGTGATACCGGGTTGTTAACAATACATGACATATCATACTTCCCAGTGGCAATCAAAAACTCTTTTACCTTCTTTAACTTCTTCTCCGAAACAGCAAAGGCACAAGGTGAATACCTAAACATTCTCAAAATGTCATTTTCTGAAAATCCCATATCCCGAAAAACACGCATCTTCAGCTCCCAACTCTTGTTTGTCATCGAGCTAACTGCCCTAACAGCGTAAAAAAACTGTTTGGAACTCCTATTGACCCCCAATTCATTAGCCTTGTCTAC